AAAAATTACCTTGCCATTTAAGGGTAAGCCCTGACTGGTCCTCCATTTCTAAACTTAGTAAATACAGTGAGTTCAGGGACGTAAAGAGGAGTATAGCTGAAGCATAAAAGGATCCAGTCCTTCATACGTTTAGTCTTGTCTCCGCCACTAGCAGTTTCTTGGTTAGCGGATTGGTCCAATTCTTCCATGGTGTGCCTGCCACAGGTGGGACTCACGGCTGATGCTGAGCGCTTGTATCACGCGTCCGGTTGTTGGTTACCAAATTCAACTCTGGTGGCCACCAGGGGGCGTCAGAACCGAGGGCTTCAGCGCTCCATTCTGAAGAACCCATGTGATCCAGAGTTTGTAATCTCTGGGCTCATTCTGTTCTTTCCTTAGCTGGGCAGAGGGGGCAGGTGCGTGGGAGCAGCCGACAGCGCCTCTTCCGGACGTCCTAGTAAAGTCCGAAACTTCAGAATTGCTTGGGGGCATGAGGGCCCCGCCCCCTAAACTGCTCCAGTGAGCTCTCGCTCGCCCATAGGGTAAAGGCACGGTCTGTGCTCGGTCCTGGAAGGACGCAGCCTGGGTGAGGAGATAGTCCCATGCTTAAGAATTCCTTAAGAAATTCCTCCCTTCACCTCCGCTAAGAGTCAAACTGTTTCTTTCTGATTAAGCAATCTTTTGCCCTTTGTCAAGTTGGATTGTTTGCTTAGATACCAGTCCTGCTCCATACCTCACTGCCTTCCTGTCTCCCTCAGGCATTGTTCTGGGCACTAGGGGTACAAGTGAACCAACCGCCTGCCATTTCTGGTTGCATATTGGAATCACAGGGGGAGCTTTAAAAAACTGTAGATGCTGAGCTCCACTCCAGAGATTCGTTTTGGGGTGGGGCCTGGGCATCCATGATTTTAAAAGCTTCTCCTGGGATTCTTCTGTGCAGGATTATTGACGGTTTCTGGGTCCAAGGAAGGCCTTGCTACCCCTTGAGTAGCAGCTGGATAGAGATGCAGACTCTCAGCATCCCCAACGTGCTGCATCAGGATCCACATTTCGGCAAGATCCTCAGGTCATTCAGTTGTGCACTGAAGTTTGAGAAGCATTGATGTAGTTCTGCTTTCCCCATGCTCACTTCCCTGGCCGGAACCACAGCCTTATAACTTTCTCAAGCTGGAGCAGTGGCTTCCAGAAGTTTTTGCCTGTGACCTATAGAAAAAAATAGATTTTATATCAAGACATAGAGCACACCTGTGGAAAGAGAATGAAGCAAAAGTGTCCCCAAAACAATACCTTTACTATCTGTGATGCACTAATTCATTCAATAGATATTGTTGGTACCTACTGCAGGCTAGGTATGTTCCAGGTGCCCGTGCCAGGCTATGTCCAGACAAAAACCCCTGTCCTTGTGGAGTTTACATTCTGTGTGTGTGTGTGTGGCAGGGGAGGGTGGGTGTGATGGTGGTGGTTGCCAGAAAGTTAATAAAACATGAATATGAAGGGCATGTTAGAAGATTAAAATAATAAAATTTCTTTACAAAATCACATTGGGGGGACTTCCAGTTGCTGGTTATGTTCTGTTTCTTGATCTGGGTGCTGGGCATATTCTCTTTGTAAAATTACAAGTTTTTACATTTCTTTGTACATATGATATGTTGTACTTCAGTTAAAAAATTCAAAAATTTTATTCTGATATTTCCTATTCTGTTATTGTTCTCTTTTATTTAAAAAAAGGTCAAAATAGTTTAAAAAACATTACTCTATTTAAAAAAACAAAACAGAGCAAAAAACAAACCTTCAGCCCAGTCACTGGACAGCATCCACCGCTCTTGCTGAGGACCCGCTGGCAGGCATGAGCCCGACTGCCTGTCACCACCTTGTGATTGCCTCCTTGCCCTCCTGCTTGCCCACAGGGCAACCATCTCACAATGGAGATTCTTAAGGCATCACCACAAGCCTCCCTCAAGCAGCTTGTCCGCCTCCGCTGAGTGCTAGACCTGACAAGCCCTTCTCCATGCCGAGTCACTCTGCTGCGGGCAGCTCTCAAGTTCCAGATCTGGGTAGAGACTGGCACAGGCACGTTAGAGGGTTGGGATTCTCCCTGCAGCCACGTCCTGCGCGTGCTGAGCCTCCGCTTCTAGACTGTCTCCTTTCCTCCATTACGCTGACAGCTGCCTTGGGGCAGAGCACTCTCACTGGATGTCTTCCTGGCTACTAGTAATGTCCCAGAGCAGTGCAGAGACAGCCTCAGAGACAATTCCCAGCACAGCCCCAGCGCTCAGCGTGCTGGTGGGGACAGTCCAGGAGTTGGCGGGCACAGACCAGGCAGAATGGGGAAGGGAGCAGAAGATCTCTTTTCTGTAAGCCTAATGCTCTAGATAAACCTGCCTGAAGGATGACAGAGGTGTGGATCTGCACCTGAGAGCAACTGGAGGGAAGGTGGGAGAATGGGGAGCTGGGTTTCCATCAGAGAATCACCTAGCAGGACCCACCAGGATGCAAGTGCTTTGACCCCTTGCTTTGTTTGATTTGCAGCTGGATTTACCAGCTCCAAATCAGTTGTTTGCATCTACTGACCCCAAACATCTGGTCAGACCTGATGTTTCCAAAGCGAGGCTCCCGGGTTTGGCATTGTTTTGTTGTGCCTTAGTGGTTTAGAGCAGACTTTGGAGTCAGAAAACTGGCTTTAATACTACCAGCTGTATGCTCATGTTCAAGGCACTTAACCATGTAAAGCCTCAGTGCTGTCATCTGTAAAATGGGAGTAATGTGTACCTCATTGGGCTGTGGGGAGGTTCGATGAGAATAAATGCCATGTGCAAGACCTTACACACAGGAAGTCTCCATAAGCCTTAGCAATTGTTACTGAGGTATTACAAGGGAAGTTGTGGGAGGACCCCCAACCAGATTCCTTTCCCTTTCTCCCCTGTGGCCAGGCAGCAAGAGGGAAGACCCTAACTCAGCTGTGAGTTCATGTAGGGTCAGGAGTCCTGCCTAGACCCCCTCTTGGCCCAGGTAGGGTACATTCACCTCCTGCTTTGTGGTCTTGGCTCCGTGGCAAAGGGCAGCTGTTACACTGTTATCAAATTAGGAGAAAGCCGAAGTCCTTCCAATCCAGAAATCCTCTGCCCTTTGGTGTCTGGAACTCATCCCCTTCTTGTTGCCCTACTGTTTTCCTGGGCCCAATGCTGGGTAATGGGAAGGCAGAAAAAGCCATCCTTACACAGATCTCTGATGTCTGATCTTGGGGACAATTCTGTCTGGAGTTGTTTTATTATTGTATCCATTTTATAGATGAGGTACAGTTAGTAACAGGGACAACTGGCGTAAGCCTTTGTTTTTAAGCTCCATGGTCCAAGGCTGTGTCCAGCTGGCCTAGATCTGGATCTGCAGGCTGCACTCTCTGGGAGGAGCTCTGAATTTTCTCATCCTTTGGGGGTATGGTAAGGAGAGGACTCAAGAGGGAGAAGCACAGGAGGGAGGAAAGCCTCGTTTGCCTGGGACCCCTTCTACCTACGTTCCCAGCAGAAGTGTCACCGGCCGTAGACCAGCTCTTCCTGGCTGAAGCTCCCTCCATTGGCCCCAGGGAAAAGGTAGGGGTGGCCTAGGTTCCTAGGCCTCTGAGCTGCTTCTGAAAGATTAGGACCAGAGACCCTTTGTGCACTCACTGGACTGTGGCCTTGGAAGCTTTCCAATCCAACCTCCTCATTTTAGAAATGAGGCAACTGAGGCCAGATGGAAGTGACGTTTTTCGCCGTCACATGCAGCAGCTGAGCTGCTACTTAGAATTCGAGGCTCCTATTTCAGTGCTCCTCCGTTGGGCGGGGCTGACTACATTGTCTGGATGAACTCATTCACTACCTTCTGTTTCACCTCGCCGCCTCTAGGTACCACATGAGGGGGTCGAGAGTGGGATAGAGAAGGGGAGCTTGAGGGGGGTCCCGGACAGGGAGGGGAAGCGGGACCTGGCCCTTTAGGAGGGCGGGTCGACCCCGCCAGGCCCCGCCCCCCAGGGGCGGCGCAGGCGCAGGCGGGCTTCAGGAACTCAGGCTGGAGGGCGGGCGCTCCTGGCTGGTGGACCGGCGCGCGGGGCCGCATCACCTGCGGGGGCCGGCGCAGGGCGCGGCGCCCGGCGGGCGGGCGTCGACGCCGGGAGGCGAGGCGGAGAGGCGGGCCCGGGACTTTGGGGCGATCGCGGAGCGGGAGGGGACGCGACCCCGCAGCCCCTTCCCTTGGGGGGCAGGGAGGAAGGAGCCGGGCGTGGGGCGGTGTGAGCGAGCCTCGAGGGCAGCACCATCTGGAGGGGCGGGACCGCGCGGCCTCTGGGGGGCAAGCGAGTGCGCTGGGCAGTACCGGCGGGGAGCCGAGCGCGGGAAGCGCAGGAGGAGCGTGGCGGACTCAGCCCCGCGCTGCCGGAGCAGCAGCCGCAGAGGGTCGGGGTTCTCAGTTGGGGCCCGCAGCAGCTCCGCGGGCTGAAGCTCGGCGTGGAGGAGCAGGGGGGCGTGGGTCCGGCTGTGCAGGAGGAGGGTGGGGTGGGCCCGGGGGTGCAGGAGCGGGGTGGCCGCGGACGCGAGCCCAACCTGGGGGTGGTGTGGGGGTCGCCGGACGGCGCGGACTGGAGGCGCCGTCCTCCGTGGACGGGCTCCGCGGGCTGGCCTGTAGTGCAGGAGGAAGGGCTAGGGCCCCGCAAGCAGCACCAGGAGAAGGGGGGAGGCAGCCGCGCAGTGCAGGAGCGTGGGGAGGCCCGCGCCGGGGTGCAGGAGCGGGGGGAGGGGAGCCCAGGCAGGCTGCTGCAGCAGCCCGAGCAGCTGTCCGAGTTGGGGGATCGCTCCTTGGAACGTGGGGAGGGGCTCGAAAGTTCCGGGCAGCGAGGGGAACTGTACTGGGAGAGCTGCGTGCACCTTAGACGGGAGGCAGAGGTCCTGGGAGCGGCACCGGTACGCCGCGAGGGACTTGAGCTGGTGGGGAGGGCCCGGCCTGTGGGGCCCCGGGGGCCTGAGGGAGAGGGGCGCTTGGGGGTGCAGGAAGCAAATTGGCTGCCAGGGGTGCAGGAGGGGCAGGTGGTGCGGGCTGTCCAGGAAACTTACCTGGACGGGAAGCGCGCCCAGGAGGGAGCGGGGCCCCCTGAGGGGCATAGAATCCGGAGGCGCCGGCGGCGGAGGAGGTGGTAAACCCACAGGCCGGCTGCCCAGCACCAGGATCGCTCCAGGGCCAGGGAGACCTCAAGATGTAGGGCCTTGGGGACTGGAGAGCAGAAGAGCGCTGTGAACCTGGGAGCGTTGGGACCACTGCCCCAGATCAGGCAGTGTCCATCCGGATCCTCATCTGCTACCCCTCTGGACATCATCGGAGCTGAGTCTGCAGGGAGGCAGCAGGTAAGGAAGCCCAAGTGTGTTCTCAGCTGGAATTGATGTGTTGGGAAGCAGGGGACTGCAGTTACCTCAGGAGAGGGTGGTCTCTAAACTGCCCCGTTCACTCCCCTGTGTTTAAACCTGGGAGGTAGGAAGCAGTGCGGTTTCAGCAGCGAGGCAGAACTCCTTTCCGCAGATCTGTATTTGCCAACTGGAGTGATGGGGCATTTCCTCAGAGTCTAGACTGGAGGTGAGACTGTCTGGGTGGCCGCCAGCCCTGGCAGAAGGAAGAGAGGGGTAGCCCCAGGCTGAGGCTGCAGAGGAGATGGCCACCCCCCACCTACTTCCTGGTGGAGATGGGGTGCTTCCATGCCAAAGCTGCCGTGGTGCCGCAGCGCAGGCTGCCTCAGGTCCTCAAAACACATTCCAAAAAAGGGAAGGAGGCTGCACTGCGTTACCAGGACCTTATCTTGTAACCCTGTTAGCCACATGAGCTGAGTGTTGTAACCAGTGACTTGGGCACGAGCCTGACCTGCTCCCGCCACACCTTCTTGTCACAGCTGATTAATTCTGAGGGCTCAGAGCCAAGGATGATTAGTGGGCAGAAGGGCAGAGAGCTGCTGGTGAGGCTTTCTGTCTCCCAATGGGCTCTCAGGACCCCAGCCTGAAAAGGCTGGGAGAGAGGGAGTATCAGACTGCTGGACTCTGGCGTCCAAAGTGGCCTAGACCTCAGCCACACCCACTGGAGGCGGGCTGTTGGGCTGTAGCATCCTGGATTCTGTACCAGCCAGGGTCATCTCCTAACCCAGCCCAGAGGTGCAGCTTGCAAGGGGTAGGAACTAGATTTGACTTCCTGGTGAGTCGCCCCCGACCTGGGTGCCAGGCCTCCTTCCTGGACCAGCTGGGGCTTGGTCGGCCAGCTTATGGGCTGCATCCTTTTCGGGCTCTTCTCTTACCTGGTGCTGTCTGGGTGCCTGCTGCTCTAACCCGCTGGTGGGGGCGGCTGCCGAGTTGCTGCCTGCCTCAGGGCCTTAGCTGGGAGGCATCTCCGACCCAGCCCAAGGTGTGGCTCTGAATCAGCTCCAGACCCCTATCCAAATCAGATTGGTTGGAGATAGTTCTCTCCTCTCTGGGTGGGGGTAGTGTGGTAGCAGGCTGGGCAGGCAGACGCTGGGACTGTGCTGGTGGAGCCGGTTAGCCTGCTCCTCACGCAAACCCAAACCCGACTGTCAGCTTCATCCCACGCCTGCCTGTCATACTGCCACCCCAAACACTCATGCACCGGAAGTCCACCTTCTGTGTTGACAGTTCCTGGCTCTTCTGGGGTGGCCAGACTGGTTCTGGTTCTCTGGTTTCAACGGAGAGAATTAATCTGTTCTAAAGACATGCATATGAGCACACATTTGCCCCCTATTTCAGGTTGACTTTTTTGAATTTGTGGTAGGTAAAGAGAAGAAGGATTCTGAGGAAGCTGTGTAGCCTCCTGGGGCAAGGTGACATCTCTGGCTTCAGTTTTCTGTGTGCTGGGGGCATGGCTTTCCCTACAGTGAGAGTCCTGGGTGCAGAGGATTCAGCCCCTTCTTTGCCAGTCTACCCACCTGGCTGGCAGATGGTGGGTAAGAGGGGTCAGTGCTCCCAGACCTTTTCCTCCTGCAAGTATCCCCCTACCCTGTTCTAGTCTGCAAGATTAAGTGCTTTTTTGTTTTTGTTTTCAATACTAGCTTCAATAAAGTATAATGACATACAATAAACAGAGCATACTTAAAACATACAATTATTAAACTTTAATATATGTGTATATCCATGAAACCACCAACACAATCAAGATAATGAACTTACCCATTATTCCCAAAGCTCCCCCCCAATTTTTCTGCCTCTTTGTCTTTCTTCCATCCCACCTGTCCTTTGCTATCCCCCTTCATCACATAACAGGCTGGTCTGCTTACTGTCACTATACATGTTTACATTACCTAGAATTTTATGTAGATGGAATCACACAGCACATGTTCTTTTTTTTGGCCTGGCTTTTTTTACCCAGCATAATTATTTAGAGATTCATCCATGTTGCCGAGTGTAGCAATAGCTCATCCTTTTTATTGCCGAGTATTAGTCCATTGTTTATATAAACCACAGTCTGTTTATCCATTCAGCTATTGATGGGTTATCTTCACTTTTTGGTTATTATAAATACAACTGTTATGAACTTTTTATACAAGTCTTTGTGTGGACATGTACTTTTATTTTTCTTGGGTAAAGCTTTAGGACTGGGATAGCTGGATCATATAGTAGGTGTACATTTAACTTCTAAGACACTGCCAAACTGTTTTCCAAAGTGGTTGTACCATTTTACATACCCACAAGTTGTATATGAAAGTTCTAGTTCATCTGCTTCTTTGTTAACACTTGGTAAGATCAGTCTCTTTAATTTTAGACATTTTAATAGGTTAGTAGTAGTATCTCGTTGTGGTTTTAATTTGCATTTCCCTAATGACTAATGTTGAGCATCTTTTCACGTGCTTATTTGCCACCTGTATATCTTTGGTGATGTGCCTGTTCAAATTGTTTACCAATTTTTAAAAATTGTGTGGGTTTTTTTATATTGTGTTTTGAGAGCACTTTATACATACTGCACACAAACCCTTTATCTGATACGTGATTTGCAAATGTTTCCTTCCAGTCTCTGATTGCATTTAAATTCTTTTAAATGTTTCTTTTGAAGAGCAGAAGTTTTAAATTTTAAGGAACTCAAATTTACCAACTTGTTCTTTTGTGGATTGTGTTTGATCTGTTTATCTTGTCTTTACCCTTGTACCACACTATCTTGGTCACTATAGATTTTTCTTTTTTAGTTTAGGTCTTGAAACCAGGGTAAGATCTTAAACTTTGTACTTCCTTTTCAAAACTGCTTTAATTATTCTCTGTTCTTTGTACTTCCATATGCAGTTTAGAATCAATTTGTTAATTTCTACAGAAAATGCTGCTGGGATTTTGATTGCATCTACAGATCAATTTGGGAAGAATTGGCATCTTAGCAGTATTAAACCTTCTGACCCATGAATAATGTATGTATTTATTTATATTTTTAAGAATTTCATCAATTTTTCATGTTTTACAGTGTATAGGTCTTTCATATTTTTTGTCAGATATATCCTTAAGTAGTATATAGTTTTTGGATGCTACTGTAGATGGTACTTTTTATGGCATTCAATTTTTAAAAAATGTATTTATCTTAATCACATACACAAAATTTACTATTTCAACCATTTTTAAGTGTACAGTTTAGTAGTGTTAAGTACATTCACATTGTTGTGCAGCCATCACCATGTGTTCATTTCCAGAACATTTTTCATCTTGCCAAAATGGAACTCTGTACCTATTCAACAATACCTCTCCGTTCCCTCCTCCCCTGCCACCCCTGGCAACGACATTCTACTTTCTGTCTCTATGAATGTAACCACTCTAAATAGCACATAGAGTAGAATCATACAGTATTTATCCTTTTGTGATTGTTGTTTTTCACTTACCATAATGTATTCAAGGTTCATCCATCTCTTAGTACATGTCAGAATTTCCTTCTTTTTAAAGCTGAATAATAACCACTGTATAAATATATCACATTTTATTTTATCTATTCATTGTTAATGGTTGCTTCTACCTTTTGGCTGTTTTCAATAGTGCTGCTATACAATGGTATTGTTTTTTTAAATTTCAGTTTCCAAATGTTTGCTGTTAATATACACAAATACAATTGATTTTTGTATATTGACCTTGAATCCTCCCACCTTGCTAAGCTGAATTATTCTAGTAGCTTTTTTTTTAGCTTCCATCGAATTTTATACTTAGGTTGTCATGTCATCTGCTAATACAGTTTTATGTCCTACTTTCTGATCTTTATGCCTGTTGTTTCTTTTGCTTGCCTGATTGCACTGGCTATATCCTCTGATATAATGTTGAATAGATTAGATACCTTGTTCCTAATCTTCAGCGGAGAGCTTGCTTTCACCATTAACTATTGTATTAGCTGTGGGATTTTCATTGATGATTTTTACTGGTTGTAAAAGCTCCCTTCTGTTTTTACTTTGCTGAGATTTTTAATAGAAATGGCTATTGGATTTTGTCAAATGCTTTTCTGTGTTTATCAAAATGATCATAGGATTTTCTTTTTTAGTTTGTTACATCGATTTCAAATGTTAAACAAACGTAGCATTCCTGGGACAAACTCCATTCGGTCATGTGTTATTCTTTATATATATTGATGGATTCTATTTGCTAAAGAATTTGTAAAAATTTTTTCGTTTAGGAGGATAGTTTTCTTTTCCTGTAATGTCTGCAGGATTCATAGTGTGTACCTTTAACTTGTCATTGTCTGCCTTCAACCTTAAAATACTATATTTTCATTTCTCTCCTCTCTTTATGCTATTGTTCTAAAAAAAAATTATACATGTTATAAACCCCACACTATATTGATGTTATTGTTTAAAACGTCAACTATCTTTTTTTTCTTTTTTTCTGGTTTAATTTTAACTAATAAATTTTAAAGGATGACTGTAATATCAATCCAAATCTCTTATTTCCAATGCACAAACTATGTTTTGTAACCTGTAGGTGCCATAGATTCTTTTCACCATGGCCACCCTTGTTTATGGTTTTTCTTCTTCCTCGTGTCCTTTTTCTTCAACAGTTGAACAATAATAAACCATCAACTATCTGTTAAAGTAATTTAAATGATAAGAAAGATAACTATTTACACATATAGTTGCCATTTCCAGTGCTGTTTCTTTGCATAGATCCATATTTCTATGTGGTATTATTTCCCTAGTTCAACATTTATTGTAGGGCAAAGCTGCTGGTGATGCGATCGTTCATCTTCTGTATTTTTACAGTTTGTTTAGCTTTATTTGTAAAAGTTATTTCCATTTAAATACAAGTCTAGGTTGTTAGTGTTTTTCTTTTCAGTACTTTAAGGATGTTGTGCCACTGTCTTTTCATTCCATTGCTACAAAAAAATCTGCCCACATTTTTAT